ATCCCCCATATATATACATAAAGAAAACTTGCTCGAAGAAATAGTCCTTATGAAGAAATCAAATTCAAATCGAAGATGAAAATATCCCATTTTCGTGAATTTGACTTATGTATCTTTGTACTTACCAATATTAAGTTGAAGTTCAATTTGTTTTGTATCAACAAGTGATTGTGTTAAAATATCAATAATATTTTGACTTTGTTTTCTATAACAAACAGCTAAAAATCCTAAGGTTTGTATAGCTTTTTCTTTAATTCGATTTGTTTCATTGATTGTTTTTAATTTAGTTTGAATTTTTTCAATAAAACTTTTTATATTTAATTCATCATCATTATTAAAACAATTCATTCGTGCTAATTGTCCAATTGATATTAATAATGATAAAGTATATTCATTTTGATTATCAAAAAAAATTTTTAAAAGAAGATTTTTTCCATAATTTAAATATTCATTTGATTGTTCTAAATATGAACAAATATAACCAAATGCAAGTATACTTGCTTCACGTTGTTCAAAACGTTGATTTATATTTTGTATTATTTTAATTAATTCATCAATAGCTAATAAATTTTTTGAATTTTTTGATAGTACATATGCATAAAGTAATGATGAATAACGACGTGTATCATCACGTGTTGAAAAAAGACATAATTGACGAAATGAACTTATATTATCATTAAATAATTCAATTAATTTATTATCATTTAAATGATAACCAATAATAATAGCTTCGAATAAAAAATATGTTGATAAACAATCATGTATAACAAGTACAAAATCAAGTAAAAATTGTATATAATTATACCAAATTGTTGTATTTTGTTTAGCTATATCATATACATATAATAATTGTTCTTCATATTTCCATAATGGTGTTATTTTTTCACCATTAAAACTTTGTCGTATTAAACAACGATGTAAATAATAAATCATTTCTTGATATGTTTGAGGATGATAAATTAATGTATGTCTATCTATAGAAGAATTTTTCTGAACATTTGATAATATTAATTTAAGTAATAATTGAAAATCAGGATAAGTATTATCTTGTTCATTAAATAAATTTCGACGAGCTAATGAACGTATATCTTCATTTTTATCTGAACATGCAGTTAGAAGAATAAAACGTGATGTACAATCATTTGACGGAAATACATTCATGACATATGATACAGCTGCTTGACGACATTGAGGATAATCAATAGATTGAGATTCGGAAGATGAACTAGGTATTACTTGTTGTGTTAATAATTGTTGTAGCATATGTTTACTTGATACACTAGCATCTTTTTGAGAATATGCTAATAGACTAAAAGAAAACAATAGTATTTATGGCATTTGGAATTTTTGATTCGATCGAAAAGTAATTTAACAAAATGTTCAGAAAAATTCTTCTATAGATAGACATACATTAATTTATCATCCTCAAACATAACAAGAA